CTGAGACTATGGCCTCTAGGTGCCCTTCAGATCTGGAATTGAACTCACTCCCATGGCTTCCAGCAGAATAAAAGACAGGCATATGGGCTGAACATTTACATTGGGTAGGTACACTCCTTGGAGAGATTAGTCCTTGGAGAACAGGAGGGCAGTGTATGCACAGGGAGACAGCTGGAGGGCACGAGTGCGTGGGAGGGAAGAACACAGGGAGGAGGTAACTATGGGGAGGAAGCGGGAAGAGGGCTGCTACTGCTCCATTGTGGGGAATTGCAGTCAATATCAGGAGACAAAATGTGTATGAACTGCTGTATGGAAAGTGAATTCTCTCTGTAATCTTTCACTCAAATCACAGTAAAAAAAAAAAAAAAATCCCTATAAATTGGAAATAAAAGCACATGTGATTTGAGAGTGAAAAGAGGTAACAGAAACGTAAGTGTGATTATTAATTAATTTTTTCCCTGAATCTAGTCTAGAGTAAGTAACATGCTTGAAATTAGTACAGTCTGAGGAATCAAAAGTCTTTTCTGTCGCTAGGAGACCAAAGAAAATTTGATACATTTAAGACACTTACCCATAGATTGTGGAGTCTCAACTAAAACACAAACAAAATAAACACAAAATTGTTATTTAGCTATGAAAAGAAGACTGGTTTTCTAACTACTCTTTTTGATTTTGAACACAATACAAAATTAATATTCAGATATATTAAACAATGTAATAGTTTTCATCCAAGTAACATATTTTCAAAATTTAATAAGTCATCTAAGTTTGTTCAGGTAGAGCAAAAAGTATTTTTTGCCCTCCCATATCCATTCACAGGAGGTCTGGTGTGCAGTGGTTAAGACAGTTGACTGCTAACCAAAAGGTCTGTGGTTCGAACCCCCCAGCCACTCTATGGGAGAGAGATGAGGCAGTCAGTCTATTTCCGTAAAGATTTACAGTCTCGGAAATCCTATGGGGCAGTTCTACTCTGTCTATTCATAGGGTCACTTTGAATCAGAATCGACTGTATGGCAGTGGTGGTGTTTATTTATTTATTTTTTTGTACACCCATTCAGAATCTGATTTTCTCTTTCAGATTACAACCAGTCAATATTTACATGTTCTTTCTTCTGGAATATATCAAAATATTTGAATAGCTTTGAAAATATGATTTCTATATTATGGATTTTATATAGCTTTATACTGACTTTGTTGTTATGTGCTGTCCAGTCAGATCTGACTCATAGCGACCCCTCCTTGGGTTTCCCAGGTGGTGTCACTACGGGAGTAGATTGCCCAACCTTCCTTCTGAGGAGTGGCTGGTGGGTTTGAACCACCAGCCTTCTGGTTAGCAGTCAAGTGCCTTAGGCACTACGCTACCAGAGCTCCTATACTGACTTTAAACTATTGAAAATGTTACTTTCTGATTCCTCCTCTGAGCACCTCATCTATTTTACCTTCCTATGCTAGAAAAAAAAATCTAAAATAACCCTCACTGAGTCAACGCCAGGTATAATGCTCTCCCCTTTAGTGAAGGTGAAACCTGGGACTTGCTTTTAGTCAGTAAAATATGGCTACGGTGATAGATAGCTGCTCCCCTGATAATGTTATATAGCGCTCGGGCTTGGTAGGCCGGAGCCAGAGATTCTGCAGCTGGCTTCTGAGAAGGAAGCTGCCATGTTTTGAGAGCAGCTCTGGTGGCGTAGTGCCTAAGGCACTTGACTGCTAACCAGAAGGCTGGTGGTTCAAACCCACCAGCCACTCCTCAGAAGGAAGGTTGGGCAATCTTCTTCCGTAGTGAGACTGCCTCGTAAACCCAAGGAGGGGTTGCTATGAGTCGGATCCAACTCGAGGGCAATGAGTGTGAGAGGACAGTGTTGTCAGAGATCTTCAGGTGTATTGAGGGTCTGAAAGGGGCCCATCTGACAACCAAGAAGAAAGTAGGGGGTTCAGAAAGGCATAAAAGACATATAGTAACTGGCTAAAAGTTCTGGCATACATGAAATTGTAGTCATGGAAGGATGAAAGAGGGTGAATGGCGCAGAAACTCTAAAGGAAATGTTAAGAAGAATAAAAGGAAAAAAAAATGTCCTGTTGGAAGCATGAAAATGCAGGAGTAGTTGAATACAACAATCAGTGAATACAGTGGTAAATGTATGCAAGCATATAGCTTATAAGATAACAAAAATAGTGCATTGTTGAGTTAAAAATAATGCAGGGTTTAAAATACATGTTAACAAGGTCAAAAGACAGAGATAGTGTTCTAAAGGTCTTAATATGTGTAGCAAATGTTATAATAGCAATTTTACATCAGATTTTAATAAGACATGTTGTAATCTCTAGGGTAATCACTGGCAAAAAAAGTAGTAAAACAATACATAGTTCATATGCTGAGAGGGAAATTAGAATTATATTTGAAAAGTTCTAAAATTAGGCAAAAAGGGGAGGAATAAAGGAAAATTAGGCAGAACAAGTATTTTCAAAACCAAATATATAATTACATTGAATATAAATGACCTAAATGTTCCTATAAAATAGCAAAGATTGTTCGAGTGGAGAAACAATGTAGGATGTAGATTTATATTTACCCTTTATTTTCAGGATTATTTACCTATCTATGGAGTTCTCTTATCCAGGTTTCCTTTATTTCATACTCTCCTGAGCACAAACCTCTTTTCTGCTGTATACACTGTAGGTACCAGAGTAGAAGGTGGATACAGAGAGTGGGGAGTTGGTTGATATATACTATTTGACAGGATAACAGCTAATTTTCCTGTCCTCAGACCCATTTTCACACCACTGACTAAAATGTTCCCTAGCTCTGGTAATCCTGAGCTCTTATGGTTTCCGCTTTCTATAAAAAACCAGACCAAACTCACTGAGGTGGAGTCGGACCCGACTCATAGCAATGCCTCCTTGGGTTTCCGAGGCAGTATCACTATGGAAGTAGTTTGCCCAGCCTTCCTTTCGAGGAGTGGCTGGTGGGTAGAATGACTACTTAGGATGAAGCCTCTTGAATTTACTGAAGTTTAGTATTTTGTGGATCAGCTAAATTAGTTATTACTCATCTATCTGCTTTTCAGCTTTAATAGTTTTATTTCAAAATTTCGTTTGCTTGTGGTGGTTCTTTTAATTTCTTCTTGTTGTTATATGCCGTCGAGGTAGACCCGACTCATAGCGACCCCTCCTTGGGTTTCTGAGGCAGTATCATTACGGATGTAGATTGCCCCATCTTCCTTCCGAGGAGTGGCTGGTGGGTTTAATTTCTTAGTTTAATTTTGACTTTTAAAAATTATCATTTCTCTCAATCTAGTGATATTTAAGAGTGCATGAGAGAAAATAAAGTTTTTATTTTCAACCTGAATACCCCAGTATAACTCTGGTAATGATCAAATTTTTAAAACTGTTACTAGCAGTTAGTAAAGGAAAAGAAAAAAAGTCTTTTTTTTTGTATTCTCGAGAGACCAAAATATACTAGTGACAGGCACAGAAAAGGAACTTACTGGTTTGTCCTGATATAATTCCTGAAAAACAAACACACATAAACATATAAAATAACTTAAAGTTGATGTAACTATTTTCTTTAATTCACTAAAGAGAAGATATATAAAGCTAGAAATAATGACAGCTAGAGAAGGCAGAAATCCCCCATAAGGTGGTAATTGAAAACACAAGAGATTTGAGATTCAAAAGAGCTACTTACTGGCAGGTTTTGAAGTCACAACTGAAATAGGAAGAAAAATAAAAATATAGGCATTGATTGCTCATTAGAAGGAAACGAATTTTCCTTAATTTCTTTCTAAAGTCATTCAGCAGAAATCAGAGTTTACAAGAAGTATTTAAGTTTCAATTTCCTAATGTTGTTGTTGTTGTTATGTGCTGTGGAGTCGGCCCCGACTCACAGTGACCCCTCCTTGGGTTTCCGAGGCAGTATCACTACGGAAGTAGGATTGCCCAACCTTCCTTCCGAGGAGTGGCTGGTGGGTTTGAACCTCCAGCCTTCTGGTTAGGAGTCAAGTGCTTTAGCCACTATGCTACCAGAGCTCCTCAATTTCCTAATACCAGAGTACATATGCTTGTTATGAAAGTCAAAATTCAAAAATGCAAATAAAAACCCAGGTTCTCTGCCCCATCCCCTACTATCTCTAATTTCTTCGGACTGTTTTTTTGAGGGCCTATTTAATCTACCACCTGTCAGTTTGTTATATTTGTGTTGGCTTGCATGTTGCTGTGATGCTATGCCACTGGTGTTTGAAATGCCAGCAGGGTCACCCATGGTGCAGAGATTTCATTGGAGCTTCCAGACTAAGACAAGGAAGAAAGGCCTGGCAATCTACATCCAAAAATTGGCTCATAAAACATGAATCACAATAGAATATTATCCAACCCTAGGTGGCTTCAGTGGTTTTCTGCTAACCTAAAGGTTGGTGGTTTGAACTCACCAGTGGCTTGCCGAAGAAAGGCCTGGTGAACTGCTGCTGTAAAGGTTATAGCCAAGAAAACTCTATGGGGCAGTTGTACTCTATAACACATAGGGTTGCCACGAGATAGAATTGATTTGATGACAACGGGTTTGGTTTTTGGTTTGGATTCAAACATGACAACGATTATGAAGATGGTGCAGGACTGGGTAGAAGCTCTGGTGGCATAGTGCCTAAGGCATTTGACTGCTAACTAGAAGTCTGGTGGTTCAAACCCACCAGCCACTCCTCAGAAGGAATGTTGGGCACTCTAATCTACTTCCGTAGTGATACCGCCTCGGAAACCCAAGGAGGGGTCACTATGAGTTGGATCCCACTCAACAGCAGTGAGTTCGGTTTTAGGAGCTCTGGTAGCATAGTGCCTAAGGCATGTGACTGCTAACCAGAAGGCTGGCGGTTCAAACCCACTTCTTCAGAAGTTCTTCAACTTCTGAAGAATACTCAGAAGTACCATGGACTGCCAGAAGAACTAACAAATCTGGCCTGGAAGAAGTGCGGCCAGAATGCTCCTTGGAAGCGAGACTGATCAGACTTTGTCTCAGCTACTTTGGTCATGTTGTCAGAAGGAACCATTCCCTGGAGAAGGATATCATGCTTGGTAAAGTGGAGGGTCAATGAAAAAGGGGAAGGCTTTATCTTTATCTTTATTCTGTTATCTAGAATGATTAAAAAACTTGAAGATATAACAGCCTGAGAATGGCAAATTCTTCCTTGCAACTAGTAGCCCAAAAAGGATTTCAAAAATTGCAGATGAACTTACGGATGGATTCTGGAGTCTTAACTAAAAGAAAAACAAAACAAATACAAAATTGTTAGTCGCTGTGAAAAGGAGACTAGATTTTGTAACAGTCTCTTTGATTTTGACTACAATGCATTATTGATGTATTCATAATTATCATTAAATATTGTTGTTTTCATCAAAGTAATATATCTTCTTATTTGAAAAATAAACTTACATTGTAAGGCTTATAGCAAAAAAGAATTATTTTCCTACTCTATCGATTTATAATCATATTTGCTCTCCCAAATGACAACTTAATATTTGAGTATTGGCTTATTCTTTTAGAAGGAGCCCTGCTGGTGCAGTGGTTAAGCCCTCAACTGCTAACCAAAAGGTTGGCAATTTGAGCCTACCAGCTGCTGTGCGGGGGAAATCTGAGGCAGTATGACGGCACATAACAACAACAACAACAACATGCTTCCGTAAAGATTTATAGCCTTGGAAATTCTATGGAGCAGTTCTTCTCCATCCTATAGAAGCTCTATGAGTCAAAATCGACTCAATGGCAACAGGTTTGGTTTTTTAAATAGGTTTTATTCTTTTAGAATTAAGGTGGCAGGGAAACTAGATACTGGAAATAGAATAAGCAGAGCACGGTCATAGAGAATGTTGACACATTGTGATAAATGTAGCTAATGTCCTTGAACAATTTGTGTGGATATTGTCACATGGGAACCTAACTTGCTTTGTAAGCTTTCACCACAAATTGAATAAAATATTATGGGGGAAAAAAAAAAGGCACCTGGGCATCTATCAGGTTGCCTTTTCTTTGCAGAAAGCCCAAAGGGAGCTCTCAGTCCTCCAACTGGACTAGTTGATCTCCTGAATCAGAGCAGTCATCTTGGCATTCCTTGTACTCTCAAATTGGTATATGACTAAGGGTCCAACCAGATAAGCAGAACCAGGAGGAGATATAGATCACAGCTTATTGTAAGCAGCTGGTTTACGTGTTTGTGTAGGCTCTGGTAGCATAGTGCCTAAAGCACTTGATTGCTCACCAGAAGGCTGGCAGTTCAAATCCACCAGCCACTCCTCGGAAGGAAGGT